CTTGTCCTTGGCACAAATGAATCATCATACAGTCTCGTGCGACAGTAGGGTAAGCCAACTTTAAAGCGACAGTCGGCCCTTGGTGATATGAACCGAGGTGGATGAAAAAGGATGTCCTTCAAATCGCTGTTATAATGATAGATTTTGTGAAAAAGGTCAAGGCATAACAATTTTGGGTGCAATAAAAGGTCAGGCAGGCTTCAGGTGCTCTTCATGGAAGCGGCACTGGAATGACCTGAATAATTCAATAAAATGAAACGTGCCGCGCGATTTAGAGTGGCTTCGACAGATCGAATAATAATGGCATAAGTGTCGGCCCACATGGCGCATGTTTACCCTTATTTCGATCTGACCAATGTTTTATACAATGTTGACTTGAGTGACGAAGGAGCAGAATAAAAGTTATAACACAGATAACCAAGGATGCGGTTAGCGTTGTTATTCACATATTGCGAGTGTTTATTCTAGGAAAGATTAGAAGATATGTGAACACCAAGATATTTATAAGTGTCCACAGATGGTAATGGAATGTTATTGACTGAACAAGTATGCAGACAGTGAGTGGTAGTGCGACGTGAAACTTGCATGCTCTTGCATTTTGATATAATAAGTGTCATGAACCATGTGTTACACCATGCGAATATGTGATCTAGGTCACAGTGAAGGTTAAGATGATCCACATTACTGGTTATTTTCTGGTAATGGACACAGTCATCTGCGAAGAGTAGGAAAGTAGAGGAGAAAACGCAAGAAAAAACATCGTTAATGTAAATTAGGAAAACTAACGGGCCTAAAATGGATTCTTGCAGTATACCAGCTGTTACTGCGGAATTAGGTGAACAAAATTGGTTAGCTGTCACGCAATGACTGCGGATAGAGAGGGATTCTTTAATTCATGTAAATACATTGGGGTCGATGTTCAGCTGAGTAAGTTTGAAAATGAGTAGTTCATGTCAAACAGAGTCAAAAGTTTTTTGCAAAATCCGAGAATATGCAATCAGTGTCAAATTAAAGATCTGCGCTAATCAACAAGTCGTTAGTAAAACACAGCAATTGTGTTTTGCATGACACTGTTTTTCGGAAGCCATGCTGATAATTGCTAAAGAAGGAATTAGGTTCTAGAAATTTAACGAGGTGTGAGTATATGACATGCTCAAAGATTTTTACTAGAATCGATGTCAACGATATGGGCTGGTAGTTATTGTGGGAATGTACATCACCAGATATATGCACAGAGACCACCTTTCCAGCTTTCCAGTCGGATGGCAGCGGGGACGTCTGTAATGACCGTTTGAAAAATTTTGACAAAAATAAAGAAAAATAGACTTGGTAACACTTCAAAATTTTTGACGAAATGCAATCTGGGCCAGCTGATGATGACACTTTCAAAATTACAACAAGTATTTCGACACCAACTGCGTCAATGATATTGGGGTCCATTGGCAAGAAACTGGCACTCATTGAAGGAGGATACAAAATGGGGGTGCTGTTACGAAAGTGCGCCGAAAAGATAGTACTTAGAACATTGCAGCACTCGCTAGGAGCGACTGCAACGTCTGACTGGATTAACTGGATATCTCACGTTTTAGTTCCCCTAATGATGATCCAAAACTTACGTGGATTAGAGCACAGAAGCGAAGGAAGAGTTTCATTGAAAAATACTTTTTTGGCTTTCGAAAGCACAGTACGGAATTTTGTGGTACATGTCTGATAGGAAAATAATGGTCTCTTTTGGATGTTGATTTTGCGCGCCTGGATAGCTGCTTCTTTTTATTGCGCATGACGTTAAGCGTGCTATTGAGCCACTGAGAACGTTGGTTAGATGAAACTGTCCTCTTAGGTACAAATCGGTCAATTAGAGCCAGCAGTTTATTTCTCTGTGCTAACCAGTTCTCTTCAACTGATCGCTGCTCGAAACCAGTGAAGAATAGGTCAGCAAAAGATTGGACCTCTGCATTCATTTTATCGAAGTCTGCTTGGCTATAGTCTTGAATATTTTCTTTGATTTCTTGATGTAAACTTGTGCTTTTACTTTAAAGTAATTATACACTGGCCACTAATTCACGGTAGACGAGTAAGGGGTGAACCTAGATCTGGTGTAGTAGTGAGTACTAAATCTAATACACCAGCGGAAGTGGGAGTAACGCAAGTGGGAGAGTTAACAAGCGGAATAAAGTTAAAACTGCGGCAAGGAAATAAAAAATTCGCTACTTTTAATTAAGTTGTGCTTTACTGTAACCGGGTCTCTTTCCCACATGTTGTCTGTACTCAGATTTGGGTGCACGTTAAAGAACCCCAGGTGGTCAAAATTTCCGGAGCCCTCCACTACGGCGTCTCTCATAATCAAATAGTGGTTTTGGGACGTTAAACCCCACAAATCAATCATCAATCCCACATGTTTCGGGAAAGTTCAAATCGCCAAGAACGAACGAAGGTGATCTTGGGTACCTGACTAACAGCTGAATAACAACATCATGCTGGTCATTGCGAAAAGATGATGATACTGTTGGTGACGAATAGCAAAATACAAAGTATTATTTTACAATAATCACTAAACACGTGCACACAAACAACTTCAAGTGAAGACATAACCGGAATAATGTGAGAAGCAAGCTTATCAGCAACCACCAGCAGAACACCCCCGTCAGACCGGTAAACATGGTCGCATCGGTGAAATTTATAGCGCTCCTCACAATCCAAGATTTTCTTATTTTGTTAATTTGGCAGAAAGCCAAGTTTCTGTCAGACCAACAATATCCGCGCAACAGGAACCAATAGCAGAAGACAGTTCGACGCGTTTATTAAGGACGCTGCGCACATTTCAAAAAGAGAGAAGAGGCATTTCCTGAGAAGCAACAATACAGACGTAGCTATGAAGCGCTAGGAGTATCACCACGTGCCGACTCAAAAGATTGCTTGCCCCCAGCTTGTGGTGAATCGATTTCGCAAACGCTATCGCTTTCTGCGCAGTAAACGTAAGCTTTTTTTGTTCATGATCAGAAATGTTCATTCAAAAATGTTGACTGATTTGTGGTGTTGAACGTCCTAAAACCGCGATATGATTATGAGGGACGCCTTTGTATGGGGCTACGGAAATTTCAACCACCTGGGATTTCGGAGTCAGAAATGTGCATGCCAAGGTGTCGGGACAGTAGATCACAAACATGGCCTTAATAGGACTAGGCCCACGTCTTATTTGGGCTGTCCAGCGCCGCCGCGGTGGTCTAGTGGCTATGGTACTCGGCTGCTAAACCCGGAGGTTGCGGGATTGAATCCCGGCTGCAGCGGCTGCTTTTCTGATGGAGGCGGAAGTGTTGTAGGCCCACGTGCTCAGATTTGAGTTCACGCTAAGAACCCGAGGTGGTCAAAAGTCTAGCAAAAGTACCTAGTTTCATGACATGTCCAACACCCACGAAGTGACTACCGCAGCAACTTTCGAATGCCCGAATCTCGGGTAAACACATACGCATACTCTTATTTTCTTAGAATCATAAAAGACTGGAATGGTTTAGCAGAGGCTGTAAGGAATTATGAAACTTTACAAAATTTCGAATAAAAACGTAGAATATTTTCAACGTAAAAAGTCATGAGTTCTGGCTCTTTTTCATAATCAATCTGATTGAGTGTTCAGAATCATAACAATTTCATGTGGCAGGTAGATTTTAGTGTTTTGACGCTTGATTCTCTGCAGTAAATGATGTGATGTATGCATTAAGTAGGTGGTAGTGCAAAATCATGTTATGTAAAAGTTTTATTTTTTTTCTCGCCTGTGCATCGCTTCTTCATGTTTGACATGATGGTTATCACGGGAGATTTTGTTCACTGTACATATGTGATGAATTATTGTTTTTTTTTTTGTACCCCGAAGGGGCATCTGTGCAAGCAGGCGTTTGGTGTGTAGCGACACTATGGACTCGAGCTAACGGGGAGTTTTGTCTTCTACCGTGCCTAGCTATGCGTGGCTTTGCCGTGTCTGGAGAAAAGGGGATCCTGGGGGTTCAGCCGACGTCGGGTGATTGCAACTCTAACGCCCTCCGGCCGAGGCAACACACCCCTTTGGCCCCGGCTACACGTAGACGGCACTTTGGGCTGATCCGCCCAGGGGAAATCTGCAGTCGCCTTTCTCGCTTTCTCTCTCTCTCCCTCTCTGCCTACATCTTCGTATTTTCTCTCTTTCAGCCTTTTCTTTCATTCCTTCACTTCTTTTTACATCCTTGTTTAAAGGGACCCTGAAACGGTTTTGGCTAGTTTTTACTAACACATTTATTTATTTATTCATTTAATTTTTTCAAAATACCTTACCGACCCAACAGGGCATTGTGTAAAGGGAGCCTAAAGGGAATACATACATATTATGCAAGTCCTAACAGGAATAAGGATGAGAAGTCCCAATTTGGAAACTGATTTGAGCTCTCTACGTAAACTGCGTAATTTATTACAAAGCTTTTAAGTTGCGAATCGCCCGAGATTGCTGCAGATCGCTGCCACTAAGACAAACGCATTTTCAACCACACACACACCAAGCGACGCTATCTGCCCTATTGACGTCATCGTTTCCAGCTGATCTGCTTGACTGCGAAACACGCAGCACAGGTATTTCTTTTCTAAAAAACAGTGAACAAATGTTGTTCGTAATTTGTAAAACACTTTATAATTTATTTTGATTAAATTTTTTTACAAAGAAAAAGAAGACGATCGCAGTTTACAACTAAGCTTTGGAACTTCCGGCACACGGCGAACTTGGTCTGCTTGGATCCCACACGCTCCATGTTGACGTGAGCTGCGCAACGAGTGGGCATCACGCGGTTGTTGCGACACCACAGAACACCTATACACTGTGACACCATAAATCACCCTTGCCTCGTTGTGGGCCGCAAGTCTGTTGATTGGCGACAAGAGAAGATACGACACCGTGCGCCTGGAAAGCGCAGCAGGGCCCCGAGTGGCTGCAGCGCATCGGATTGCCCGTATCAGATCGCCGGCGGGGTTTACGCGTATGTGGTCGCCACGTTAAGCTGGAAGCCTACGAACGCGATTCTGTGCGTGTACGGCAATGTGAAGAAGCATCGCCTCAAATCCGACGCACTCCCGTCTTTGTTCCTTCCTGGTGAAAAGGTAAGTTCACGATCGATCCGGATCATGCGACACGCACTGAAAACGCGGATCGCACGTGTGTGTTCAGAATAACTATAACTTGTTAATTATAACTGTAACGACTGTGTCTCTTCAATGCAATGTGGTCCACTTCGCAATAATTATATATACGTTGAAAGACTTTCGCTGGTTCACGATTTCCAGAACCAATTATAAAATGGCAGGCTGCCTTTTTGCACAAGTGTATACGTTGTCGGGCCAGCTGTAAAATGCAGGTTCAAATGTACGGCATGCATGTTATACATGATGAGCTCAAAGAAAGCCCTGCAATAGTGCAACACGTGTTCGACGGCGTTGATAGGCTACGGTCCGATTGCTCGTGTTGTATTCATGCCGAATAGCAATAGCACGGCGCGCTAGAAATTCGTCTCACAGTGCCGGCGTCCTAAGTGCGTTTAAGCTTATGCTTCAACTGTAGCGCACATGCTTTATTTGTTCATTTATTTGCCGGTGTGAATGCACATTTATCTATGTGTAAAGGCAACCTTGCAAGAGAAAGCGTGCCGATTGATGGATGGTTTAATTCATCGACTGTGCTTGGGGGAATGGCTTATGGCTGCTTATGGCTGCTTGCGGGGTCGATTATAAGCATGCAGCTTTACGTTGTGGCATATTAAGCAGGAAAACAAAAAAGCCGAGAAATATTTGCACCACAGTGTCCCTTAATTGATAAATTAATTATATAACTGCAATACTCCATTTGTTTATGCCATAATGCAAGATCACCAAATCACAGCAGCGTAATGAAGTCTGGGCTTCACATCTAACAAGTACTTGGCAGCTTATAAAAAAGAACTGCTAATTAGTAGAACTGCATACACAGTTAATGTGCTTATTCCATCCGAGATGTGAAAAAAGCAAAGATGCCGAAGTAGTTTCATACTAATACAATAAACTCTCCAGCCTCTTTGAGTATTGTACAAGATTTCTTGGCAGCATGTTCTGAGTACACACACATAAAACAATTTATACTATGTATATAAAATTATTGCACATAAAATGTGTGAATGGAAATGCAAAGACAATATTTAAAACCATTGTCATCTATTGTGCTTGTGGTAAAAGAAATTGCTCCTTTTTTCAGCACCACACACTGCCCACGAAAAGTGTCGGAGTTTGTGGCAGTCTTGGCACCTTCTGCTAGCCAGGTTAGTCCTGCCCTGTTTGTGTACATTGGCACTGCACAAAAGTTAGAGTGGAATGTATATGTGTTGCGTAGCGTTGCTGCATATTATGGAAAATAACTCAGTAACACATTTCTTATGCAGCCACACACTCTGCAACTAGCTGATGGCGGATAAGGCAGCTCGATTTCCACAGCTCTCAGCTCCAAGATGACAAAATATTTTGTGTTTTTTGAAGCATACCTTGACACCAAGGAAGTTATTGTAAAAACCAGAAGCATTTTATTATTCCTAGGCGTGTTTATGTTATTTAAAACAGACACAAGCTAATTTATATAAAGTGATTGAATACCACATGGCCACAAAGACATTGTGATGTATAAAATATAGTGTGTCAAAAGTAAAGGTGTAACATAATGTTTATTATCCCCACCTCATATATTGGCAACCACACAAAAACTGTGCACAAAGCAACCACGAGTACAGTGGTAACTCGGAAGACAGTGGAATGCCGGTTTGTTGGTAAGTTGACCTAAAGGTTGAAAAATACACGTATGAGGCATAAAGTGTACAGTAGCTGTTCAGTTACAGAATTCACACTTAAGCTCCTAAACAAAAAAACTAGCAGGAAATAATGCATGATGATGAACGATCTGGCATGACATCATTCGAAGAAGTATTGTTTGAGAAGGATTTGAGTGTTTCATAACTATCTCAGCTATGCAGCTGAACCTGAACCTGGAAGAAAGGAAAATAGAGAGAAAAGAACGGCAGGGAAGTTAACCAGCCTATAGGCAGCTGGTTTGCTACCCTGTGCATGGGAGAGGGATGGGGAGATGAAAGATAGAGAGCAGAGAGGGAAGAAAGAAACACAGCACATTCTGCAGCACACGCGTGCACACTCAGTCATAGTCCAGTCTTGTCTTTCGCGGTGTGTGACATTGCTGTTACAGTCGCTTGTTCAAGTCCGTGTCGCGTAGGAATTTCAACAGAGCTTTCGTCGCCTTGTGTTGCAATGTCTTCTCTCGGGCACTTGACAGAATAGTGTCCACAGACATTCGGCTGTTGTCGATGCGCGAAAAAGTGGACGCCAGTGACTGTCTCTGGATTTCATACACGGACAGTCACGCAGTATGCGGTGTAGCGTCTTTTCGCAATGACAGGCATCGCAGAGAGCGGTGTCGGCCATTTCTATGACAAAGGAATAAGACTTTGTAAATGCCACTCCTAGCCATAAGCGATGAAGAAGGGTGGCTTTTCTTTGGTCAAGTCCAGTGGGCATGCGGAGAGCCGTCAAAGAGGACAGGTGGTGTTGATGATTTGTATCAATGCTTGGTGGGCACCATAGTGAAAACGTGATTTCACGCGCAAGTCGTCGAAGATTACTGGCAGCATCTGTCCGCGAAAGTGGTATAGCATCTTCTCGTGTTCCTTTAAGGGCTGCCCGCGCGGCAGTATCGGCATGTTTGTTCCCTATGATGCCACAGTGACTTGGCAGCCATTGAAGCGTAACATGATGACTTTTCTCGTGTGAAGTGTGGAAAAGGCGTCGAATTTTTAAAACAAGCTGTTCGTATGGCTCACGACGCAGTGCTGAGAGCACAGATTGTAGAGCAGCCCTTGAGTCGCTGAAAATCGACGGTATCCGGGAAACTAAGGGCAGCAACCGGTGGAGGTGCGGTTGCTGTGCGACGAACTACCGAAGATCCTCCGACGACGACGACGCCGCGACAAGGCTTTCCGAACACAACGCCAACCAGGCAAAGCCCTGACGGCGAAAGCTCACTTACTAAAGGTGGCCTGACGACGCAACATGGAAGCAGCGGAACAAGCCGACGCAGCCGTGACCCGACGCCGCGCCCTAACTGTAATGCGAGACGGCGAACTAGCGACCTCGACGTTCTTATCGACGGCCACAGTGTGACCGCTCTCGTCGATACTGGAGCCGACTATTCTGTCATCAGTGGGTCGTTCGCCGCAAAGTTAAAGAAAGTTAGGACAGCTTGGAAAGGCCCTGAAATCCGCACAGCCGGAGGTCATCTCGTAACGCCTGCAGGAATCTGCACAGCGAGAGTGACCATTGACGGCCGTATTTATCCTACAGACTTCATAGTCCTACAGCGTTGCTCGAGAGATGTCATCCTTGGCATGGACTTCTTATGCCTCCATGGTGCTGTCATCAACCTAAAAACAAAGTCGATAACGTTATCCACAGAAGAAGCACTACCGCCGCACACGCCGTCTGGACACCATGCCTTGAATGTGCTGGAAGAACAAGTCACCATTCCGCCTCGCTCAAGCGTCATTATTTCAGTCGGCGCTCCTGAATCACCTGACTTCAAAGGCGTCGTTGAAGGCAGTCAGCATCTGTTGGTCACCCGAAATATTTGCGTCGCAAGAGGTATTGCAGAGCTGCGGGGAGGCAAAGCAACGGTTATGCTCACGAATTTCAGCAATGAGTACAAACATGTGAACAAAGGAACAACGGTCGCATACATCGAAGAAATTGTCGAAGCCACCAGTGCTTTCGCCCTCGCCGATTCTGTGGAACCTGCTCAGAGGAACCAAGCCCCTCCCATAGCTTTCGACGTCAATCCCAGACTTCCGAACGATAAGCAAGAACGGCTCAAGGCCCTGCTCCTGCAATACGAAGATTGCTTTTCGTCGTCATCGAAAATTCGGCAGACCCCAATCACGAAACATCGCATCATAACCGAAGAAAATGCCAGACCACTCCGTCAGAGTCCGTACAGGGTTTCGACGAGAGAACGTGAGGCCATGAACAGACAAGTTGATGAAATGCTGCGGGATGACATTATCCAGCCGTCCAAGAGCCCATGGGCATCCCCGTGGTGTTAGTGAAGAAAAAGGATGGGACCCTACGTTTCTGCGTCGATTATCGCCGCCTGAACAAAATTACAAGAAAGGACGTGTATCCTCTCCCACGAATAGACGACGCCCTTGATCGGCCCCATAACGCCAAGTACTTCTCGTCAATATACCTCAAGACTGGCTATTGGCAAATCGAAGTCGACGAAAGAGACCGAGAGAAGACGGCGTTTATAACACCGGATGGCCTCTTCGAGTTTAAGGTGATGCCCTTCGGCCTTTGCTCAGCGCCTGCAACTTTTCAACGCGTTATGGATACAGTACTGGCAGGATTGAAGTGGCAGACTTGCCTTGTGTACTTGGACGACGTCGTCGTCTTTTGCTCGAGTTTCGACGAGCATCTTCGGCGCCTTGAAGGTGTACTTCAAGCCATCAAGGCGTCCGGACTCATACTGAAGCCAGAAAAGTGCAGATTTGCGTATGAGGAGCTCTTGTTTCTGGGGCACGTTATCAGCAAGTCTGGAGTTCGTCCTGATTCACGGAAAACAGCGGCCATCGCCGACTTCCCGCCGCCCACTGACAAGAAAGCCGTGCGCCGATTCCTGGGCCTGTGCCCAGAAATCTGTTCTGTTCGTGAAAAACTTCGCCCGCATCGCCGATCCTCTCACTAACCTTACCAAGGCCGACGTGGAGTTCAAGTGGGAAACGCCACAGGAACACGCTTTCCAGGAGCTTAAACATCGCCTCCAGACGCCTCCGTTACTTGCCCATTTCGACGAATTCGCCGAGACAGAAATACATACTGACGCAAGCAGCGTAGGTCTTGGCGCCGTTCTTACCAACGGCCTCACCGAGCGGCTTAACAAGACGATCGCCGACATGCTGTCAGTGTACGTCGATGTCGAACACAAGACGTGGGACGCCATTCTTCCGTATGTGACCTTCGCATACAACACGGCGGTGCAGGAGACGACGCAGACATCTCCATACAAATTGGTGTACGGAAGGAGCCCGGCAACGACGCTCGATGCCATGTTGCCCAACGTCACCGACGAAGAAAACCTCGATGTGAGCGAGTACCTTCATCGCGCCGAAGAAGCCCGACAACTTGCGCGGCCCCGTATCAAGAATCAACAGACGACCGACAGCCACCGTTACAACCTTCGACAACGCTTCGTGGAATACCAGCCCGGTGAACGTGTTTGGGTGTGGACGCCGATACGCCGACGTGGACTAAGTGAAAAGCTTCTGCGACGGTACTTCGGACCGTACAGGGTGGTTCGACGTCTCGGCCCACTTGATTACGAGGTTGTCCCCGACGGCATCACGAACTCTCAACGACGCCGATCGCGACCTGAAGTCGTCCATGTCGCACGCCTAAAGCCGTTTCATGCGCGTTAACAAACTGAAACAGTGCTTTTTTTGTATTATTGTTCTATTGTAATTTATTCATTGTACTTTCTTGCATTATTATTGTACCTTCATCTTTAGTTAAAGCATCGAGACGATGCCTTTTTCAGAGGGGGGCAATGCCACATTCCATTTCCCAAGCTTTTGTTATCGTCCCAAAACACCACACGATTCTCAGCGCAAACCGCGCCTGCAGTTTTCGAGAGGGTTCCGGACTGTAGTAGATCATTTCGATAAGATCACGCCCACTGTGCGAATGGTACAGATTGTTCTGGAACGTACGCCGTCGCCAGCGGTAGTGCTAGAACATTCGACGGCGGGAGTATAAATGCCGACGCGCTTCGCCGCTTGTCAGTTGTTGATCGAAGGCCAACGCTCCGTTCGCCGCTATCGGTCCGAGACTGCTATCTGTGCGAGACTGCTGCTGTAATTGGACTTTCCGTTTACCGGGCACAGGTTCGCCTAAATAAACAGTTAAATCCCAACACGAAGTCTCCTGTCTTCGGCCACGTCACGACCCCATGACAATATTTTCGCATGGTAATATCAAAATGTAGAAACCAGTCATCTGAAAAATCATAGTTTTACAAACAGTTTTAGCATACTGCCTTATTTATCTTACAGTGTAATATGAATACTCATGATAGAACTGAGTTTGAGATGATGAATTTGTACAGTGGTAAAATGTAGCAGTGGTGGAGTACTCGTGGGCATGTAGGCATAAAACATCATTGCTATTATATCAGGCCCCGGAAACTCGGCGCTAGTTTCAGTTGCATGCTTGC